CTGTGCTTCACTCTATATATATATATATATATATATATATATGTATATATGGTACGATCGAATTAATTTATTTGAAAAAAAGAAATTGGAAAAATTGTATTAGAGAATAAATTGTGAAATAATTATAAGATAAAAAATATAGAATAAGAAAGGATATATTTAATATTTAATAATATTTATATTCATATATTTATATATTTTTTAATGAAATTATAATATTGTTTGCAATATTGTTTTTTAAAAATTAAACATCCATATAAATTGTGAAAAAAATAATTTTGTCATAATTAACTCCTTTTATTTGTTTAATTCCTGTTTTTATTTGTTTAACTCCTTCAACATATTATTTTATGAGGATATTTAATGATCGTAATGCGATGATAGGGGAAATAGACGTGTCCTCTGCGAATAGGGATTATTTAGAATGAATTTCTTTCGTTTTTCCTTTTTCATTAACTATATCGATGAAAGAGAAGTTGAAAGAGAGGATTAGAGCACTTCGTTAAATTAGTTTTCTAAAGTTAAAGTTTTTTAACTTCAACTGCATTATCCCACCGGTTTTTTATAGCCTTTTAGCTTCGTAACTCGATCGAAGTCGATATTCGATTAAATTTCAAAAGAATTTCACCAGAAGCGAATAATACTGTAAGATATGCAAATATTTTCACGTATTCGAATCGAAATAACGCGTTATAATAATTGAAGATGTGCAGATACGTGTTACCTTTGATAAAAATTAAAAGAATCGAATCGAAATTAAGACAATTTCCTTTCTCACCACACTGGACGAATCTAACTTGCACAACTTAAATAACTTCTCCTTAAAATATCCACTTCGTCTAACAAACTGTTATCCAACAACGATCTTTCAAGGATCGATTTATAAATATCAGAATGAAAATAAAAATTTTCCTATGCAAAAAATATCGATTGGAAGCTTTCTTGTTAACTTATAACCAATCTAATTTTACATCGGATAAAAAGACAGAGAGATGGCGAACCAACCTTATTTTCTATAAAAATTCAAATTTTCTCATAACAACTCGAACGTAGAATATATTTCGTGGTAAGCCATCGATGCGTTTACAATTTTCCTTTAAGATGACTTAAATCGACATATAATTACAGTCACATACAATAATAAATCCAAAGAATAATTTAGCTCGAATTTCGAATAATAGAAATAGGAACGTCTTATCATCGTTAAATTTAATCAGCCATCCACAATGCACGCTCTCTTTTATCCTTTTGAAACACGCACTTTTCTTCGTTTCGACCTCAATTACAGCGACTCTTTTGTGTTGAATTTCAGCATTTTCCGGCACACACTGCGTGAATTCATCTTTTATCTCTCTCCCTCCCTCCCTTCCCTCCCTCCCTCCCCTTACCACGGTCCAATTCCTTCGAAATCTATGAAGACAGTAGGCATGTATATACATAACCAAATATTGCTTAAATATTACCTTCCATATTCCGTTTCATGCGATTCTATATTTTCTGCATGAACGTTTGAAACACTAAGCTTCCATATCTTTTCCCCTTTCAGACGTTTATTGCAACCTTTTACGTACTGTTCATCCGCTTCCAACAACTTTATTTTCATTGTGTAACGTGTTTGTGGTGAAATGTTTTATCGCCATTATCGTACGATTTATTCGTTTACTGTTAATTTTTGAAGAAATGTGGTATAAATTTTAGATTTTTTTTTTTTTTCAGATTTTATTAAGATTTTTGAAAAGTCATTCTGTCTTTCGAGAATTGATGTAATTTATACGAATCTCAAAAATAAATATTTTATTGATTAAGATCTTCGTCGATATGAGTTAAATGTATTTGTTGGATCAGCAATTTTAAAATTAATCTGATAAATAACGATATTAAAATTCATTATAGAATAAGTTAATAAGTCTTTTAATAGAAAAATATGGATGGAATGAAATTTTATTATGTTATAAAATTTGATCCAATTTAACGATTCGAGTCAAGTGTAATGCAAATAAATGTAAAATTACTTTGAATAAAATTATTTAAGGATGAAATGAAGTGAAGTGGAAAAAATCGATTCAATGAGAAGCCCCCTCATATTCATGAAACAATTGTATCTCCAATATTATATATGGAATATGTTGATAATAAATTTGTAATTATTGTAGCAACTTTAATATTATAAAAATAATTTTTATCACTCGACAGCAACATTCTTTTTATTTGTATCAACTCATGTTATTATAAATTCATCAGATCCCAACTGGGTCTTTAAACTCTGTTGAACTTTATATTCACGATAAAGCTGTTCATATATTGTTAGAATAAATTTTAAATACTTTAAAATGTAGCGCATATAATATCTTCAATAGTTATTTCAATATTAATTCAAACGGTAAACAACTTCCAGAAATTTGAGAAACGAGCGAATTATTTATGCATTCGGAAAAAATTCGTTGAAAAATTAATAATTATGATTATTATATAAATTTGATGCGAAGAAAAACATTTAATATTTACATGGTTAAAGAAAGGAAAAGACAAATTGATACAAGTATAAGAATAATTGATTGAATAATCAAATTTCAATATTTCGTTCATTTTGTAAAATACGTTGTCAAAACTTCAACATTTTTTTTTTTTTCATATTCATCGATATTTGCTATTGTAATTGATAGAAAAAATTAATCATGAATGTTCTCTCTCGAATTGTTACTAAAATCGAGTTTCGATTAATTGAGAGATATGGATCAAATTTCTAATTAGCATTCTATATATCTGTTGTATCCTCGATTTATTACGCGAAAAATAACTGCCAATTGAGATAAATTTGGAATTTGCTAACGATACACGAAAGTGTGTTGTATTTTAATTAAGAGTTTATATTAGTTTATTATCAACGATATTGCTTTACTTTTTCATAAACGTTTTTTATTTCAACTTTCTTGTCAATGAAGTCTCGATAGTTGTACATACATACTCGATTTAACGTTTATTCTTCTATTATTTTTTTATTTCAAAATTTTTTCGTTTCAAAATATTTTCGTTTCTAATAATTATTTTTTTTTCGTCATATTGTATTATTAATTATATTGATTTGTATAAAAAAATATTATTTAGTTATTGCTCGTAAAAATATTTAATTAGAGAAATTAATTTTCTTCGTATGAATTTACGTTTAATATGTAGATCAATGATAAAACATTGTACACAATAATTGGTTTAAACGAATTCATTTTTATTTATAAAATATTAAATTTAATCGTAGGAAACGTAAAATTTTTCCGAATTCAGCTGAATATAAAATGACATGTTAGCATATTTGTCAAATGTGATTTTAGATAAAATATTTTTATTATTTTAATTAAAATACAATCCCGAAGTCACCTCAAATGCATTATAAATACGCTGTAAAAATAATTTTAATTTTTTCAACTATTAATTTCGTTTATAGTAATATTTTCTATGTATTTCATTAAAACTTTATACAAAGTCTGGTGAAATATATGATAAAATCATCAATATATTTTATTTTTTTTTATCATTTAATTAAGAATATTAATTAATTGCAATTTCTCTTTCTAAAAAGTAAAGTAAACGTATATAAATAATTCTTATTAATAAGTCATATTTTCGAGAAA